CCATGAGGTCTTTGTATTTCGTCCTCTGGCACGCACCGTTAAAAATCGTCGGTTCTTTTCTGTAAATGTAATTGCTATTTGGAATAAACTACCCAGAAATATGAAAACTCTGCAAAATTATCCTTTTTTAACAGAGCTAGTGCTCAATCTTCACATTCAGATAAACTCGCACAAATTTTTGGTGCTGAATCCACTGATCGACTATACCGTAGCTATGGCGTTTGTGGTCTATGATCTCTATGGCCGGCCTCACCAGGGGCAGTTTCTTTACAAAACAGTGACAGCTGTTCTTCGACGTTTCTGTTTGGCTAGCCCCAACTTCATGAAAAGAATTGGCGACTTTTAATATCCGATAAAGTGCAACCCATCCCTTCTTGGCCGTCAGCATTTGGTTAGAAATTTTTTTCTACTGAAACCTTCAAATTATAAAAACCACTATCAACTATATGCTTATTCCTCTTTGATAGTTTTTTTACTGCTGTCCGGATTTTTGTTTAACGCTTCCTTGACAATGCCTGTAAAATGGCCTTAAATACAATTATTATTATTATTATTATTATTATAAAAATAGAAAAAAATAACTCACTACGTGTTGTAACTAACCGTTTCAGGAAGTCGCTGGATGCATGAATCTAGAAAGTGCTATGAGAAGAGGGAAATGACAGTTTGAACCTACAGCGTCTCCTTCGCCAAGTGCGGTAGTAAACGGAACTCAAAAATCGCAAACTAAGTTGGGAATTGAGAATGGCAGTATACACTCATCGCTGAGAACCTTCCAGCTGAAGGACAGCCACCAGTGACTGACAAATTCCTAGCTGTCAGACCCCTTCCATAGAAGAAGGTAAAAGGATTCCGAATTGGAGAGACCACAACACGGAAACAAAACCTCGGGGAAACCGTGGAGAAAACAGTTGGACAAGATCTTAAATAGCCCCAGAAGTACAGAGGACAGTCGATTACAGTTTCCTGCAAAAACACCAGAGAGAAGCAGGCGACTGCTAATAATACTCAGTTCGTGCATCGGCAACTGTGCTCTTACGAAAAGACGAAAATAGGCAAAAATAGACTGACGATTGAGAGGGAACGACACAAATCGGACGGCTTCGTTGTAATCGGGGAAAAGACCTTCTTAAGGTGGAGAAGTGGAGCTTGTCTGAGCAGTTGGCAAACACCACTGGTGAAGTGACAGACACGGTCGCAGCAGATTCAGATATTCTCACTGATGATATAAGAGGTAGGGGCAGTGCTGATAAGGACACTTCGCCGTTAGTTCAGGAAAAGGTCCCCATAGTGGATGGCAATCAGAAGATCGCCGTTAACACCCAAGTCACCGCAATCACCCAACAAAGACGGGCTGCTCCAAGAACCCTGCCTGTTAATGCAGGATATTCAGGAGGCAAACGCAAACACATCTAAGTAACGCGTTCTATCAGATCTCGACTTGTTCCAACGTCTCCTGGACTCATTGCTTCAGCCCAATGAAGAGGTTTCGGTATTAAAAACCTTCAGTCTCAGAAAGCGCACTACTGAACCCTCCATCCCACCGCATCCTAAGCCCATCAAAATTGTTCTCACTTGCAAGGAGCAGGTTTATCTCATGCCCTGAAGACGTTTCTGATTAAAGTATTGCCACAAAAGAGTATTTCCAGTCGGATTACGCAATGCAGCAACTTTAAAAATGTCAGCAATCAGTCCAGCAGCCCAGGCTGCGACAAAGGGGTGGAGAACAAAACCTGATTCTATATAACGATCGCATAATCCAGCGACCGTCGCGGTTTATATGCACTCATTTTTGTTTATGTCCCCAGAGCTGACTCAAATGACAAATGTGGGGATATAGCCGGCTTACTGCAGGCAAAAGAACTAAAATGTTTATGCACCAATGCACAAACTTCTGCTATTTAAATTAGATTTACACGAGGCAAACCTTACGAGATGTCATATCCATAGATGAAATCTGGCAGCCCGCGAATGCAAATGATCGCGAAGTCGCTCTCTCTGGTTATCATTTAGTCAGAGAGAACGGAGTGCGCCGTCAGGGTAAGGGTGTGCTCATATCTGTCAGCCATAGAATAGGATAGGCTTATTATGGCACCTCTTGGGCACCGTCAGTCTCCTTTGAACAGGGGAAAAATCTAAACCAGACTCATCCTTTTCGGGGGCACTCTGATTTACTTGGTTTCGGGTGTCTGCTTAGTCAGTAGAGCGCGTATCTGGAGTTTATTCAAGATAGAAAGCCTGATTTCCAAGTCAAAATGATGGCAAAGTTAGAAAAAAGTATAATATATACAATATAGGGTCTGTTTGTGTTACAAAAGTGGATAAGCTTGCACGCACAAATGATGCAATTTTGCTCATCGTCAAAACGCCAGGGGTCACAAGCCCTCGGCGTCCTAGTGGTTTATCGTCCACCGCGATGCGACCCTCAGTAAAGCAGTTGTTTTAGAGAAGGAATTAAATTCGCTGTCAATCCGATCAGGTGTCGTAATCATGGGTGACTGTAACGTCCGAATATTGTTTGGAATCTGAATTCTACCCCAGGCTCAGAATCAAACTTCGATCGCCGCCTTCTACCAGCAGTGCAAAACCTGCGTGCCACCTAACAGTGTTTTTCTTCAACAAGACGACGTTAAGGGCAACTAGTCAACTGTCTTGACCTCGTACGGACGAAAGCGCTCGATAGCGTCTATGTCGAAAACTGCCTATCACGTCTTGTAAACAAAGGGTCTACGCAATCCTACAGTGCGAGTGTTTCTCCTCCTTAGTATCTTATCCAAACGAGAGACAACGAGCGAAGTCATTAGACAAGTCTTCGGACTCAACTGAAATGGATGGAAATAAAATTATGACAGACAGAGATAAAACTGGTACTCGCATTTCCATAAATTTGACAAATCTGGATCATGCAGAGTGCGTCAGGACCAAAACAAAACAGCGATCGACAACTCCAAAAATAACCTGTACGAAGTAGTCGGATGAACTTACGTACGCTACGAAAGAGCGCTAACAGCTTGCCCTTCACATGTGTATCAAGCTATAGTGCAAAAGGTCAGGTGACACAGTCAAAT